TACCAAAAAAGCATAATAGACCATCACCAAAATTAACATTAAAAATGATTTTGAAGCTCCAAAACTTTTTAAATATAATTACGGCTAGCAAAATGCAACAGGACGAAATTGATGAGCTTAGCCCCTTTTGTGGCACATATCAAACCTATCACTCACATGGGTGCAAACCCAAACCAAATAAGAAATGGAAATTCCATATAATTCTATATCAAGTTCTCATTGCAGCTCCAACATAATGTAAATCCTTCAAACCATTTATTTATTTTCTCCCACGAGTGTATATGTGTGTGAGAGAGACAGAGAGAGACAAATGGTGAATGTTTCTTTAGATTAATCTATGTTGTGAGGAATTTCTTGAACCAGTGAAATGATTTCTTGGGATATCTCTTCAACCCGTTCTTGTAATCAACGTAACATATGCCAAATCTAACTGTGTAACCATTTACCCACTCGAAATTATCTAACAGTGACCATGCAAAGTATCCCTTCACATTAACACCTTCCCTGCCAAAAGTAAATATGAAAAGTTGATGTGAGACTTCAAAATTTTGCATCTCTGTCTCGACCAAACACAAAGACAAATGTACATTTGGATTTACCTGATGGCAGAGCGAACAAAGGCCAGATGCTTGGAATAGTACTTAATTCTCATCTTATCATTGAGCTGTTCCTTCAGACTTAAACTCGCATTATTGAACTCATCAATCCCTGCAAAGTTGAAATTTTCCATAGATTGAGTTATTTTTTCTCTTTTTTTCTTTATTTTTCGTCTCAAGCAAAGAATTGATGAAGATGAAATGAAGTGAAAGAATTGCAAGCACACAGTGTTTCAAAATCCAGATAGACATGTTGAACTGGCTACCGCTCTACCGGTTGACATCAAGTCGAGTAGCGACCCAGATTGGTGGAGATTGGAGTGAGACTGTTGAAGATTATAACAACAGGATATGAAGTTTCATATCTTATGGATTACAAGATGTTGAGTTTCCTATTTCGTAATAAGACCGTTACAGTGAGATTCATTCCCTAAAATACAAGAATTATAACTTTATAAATATTTGGTAAACCAAAATAATCCCTATAAATAAGAATCTAGTTTATGATGTAGGCAACATTATCGAACCATGTATATCTTGTTGATTCTTTCTCTCTCTCTATCTTTTCCATCTTTATTTCTATTATTACAAATTGTTATATAGTATCAGAGCATCACGATCAATCCTTGGCCGTTGATAAAAAGAGAAAGTCCACTACATCTTATATATCTCAACTTTAATTCCTCGGTTGAATTACCCAAAAAAGATATTACTATTTGTTCACCATTTTTTAGTGACTCACCATTATGTCACAAGAACTGACTAATAGAAATTTGTTGCAACAAAAAAGAAATCAAAATATAAAATAGAAGAGTTTCAACTCAAAAATATATAGGAAACTTGGATTGAATCAATCGGCACTTTTACTATTACTTTAGAATAGAACACAAGGTTGTAGTACAATAGAGCAACCACAACCTTTCACTTACGCCTAACTCACCCTTTCTATCTCAACACACACGCTACATCACAATAATGTCTTACTATTTATAGACTCAATTAACCGCCTATACATATGGTCTACGAAGAGCCACATGGTCCATCACATTGTACACCTCTTTTTATCAAGCACCCCTTGACATTGTAAGCCTCTTTTTCACCAAGCAACCCTTCACAATGTACACCTCTTTTCACCAAGCACCCCATCGCATTGTACGCCACTTTTCACCAAGCACCCCATCGGTTCAATTAAACCGCCACTTATGAATCTTTTAAAGAGAATGAATGAGCATAGTCAATAAAAGAAATTAATATTCAACACTGACGACCATCTTCAGGTATATCTTTTTGGGTTGTTTAACGTGTTTACAAAGATAAAGAAAAAAGCAACCCTTCCTTCATCTTTGAAATGTATTTTTTGCTAACCCAATACAATACGTTCCTTCCCTCGTCTTTGAAATGGTGTTTTTACAAACTGTTTTGGTTTGCAAATTATTGGCTCTTGGCTTGCAATTTTGATAGCACTTGTTTTCTCGGAACATTTACTGGTCCAATACTTTTAAGATTTAGTTTGCCGGAAAGTAACTTGTTATTGTGATGGTGAGTATTTAGTTCACAAATTGTTGGATACAAATTGGCAATTTTTAGAGAGAGAAACAATGACGTTCATTTGGGTCTTCAGTTGTTTCTGATTGAGGCGTCTTCTACGCTGATCAGGTCAGGCTTCTAGTTCCCTTTAGCTCCTTGTAAATGGCTCATTTAGAAAATAACTGCAGCATGAAATTTATTATTGTTTCATTGAATAAACTTAATTATCTTGTTTGGTCAAAATCAATTTCTTGTTCTGTTTTTGAAAAATCTAAACTTGGACACATAACTAAGAAGAAAATCATGAATCTTGATTTCAAAACTTCTGAAAAAAGTATTTAAAATCTCCCTTAGTTGCAAATAATGATAAGTATGCTACAAAAAGGCCTCAAAATAATGTTTGAGGTAAAAGCCCTAACAACTATCGCGAGGGTGAAAGGGATCATAATAATAGATGACATCTTAGATGTGATCATTGCAATAATATAAGACATATGAAGGATATGTGTTGGTATTATACCCATACTTAATGCCCATTAATAACAGAACAACCAACGGATTTATCGCTCAGACTGCAACAACTCAAACTCAAATCCATCGTTGCAACCGTGATCATTATCAACAACCAAGTAACAACACTTGTGTTTCCTCCACACATGATCCTTCTTCTTCACTCCCAGACACATGTAACTCTTATGCCTCTATGTCATCCTGTGACACTTTTCCTTGTGACAGTTTGTCTTAGATAATAGACTCAGGGGCCATAGGTCATATGATTAGTAACGTACAGTGTCTATCCAACCTTTAAAATAATGAAAATATGAATTATGTGACTATTGCTAATAGTTCATTTATTCTTATTCATGATAGTGGTAAGACCAAATTCATCCAAGCCTCATAAATCTAAGGTTTGTTTTATGCCATCATTTTCCTATAACTAGATATCCATTAGTAGAATTACTCAGAGCATGAATTGTAATGTTATTTTTTTCACCTAATTCTATAATTTTTCAAGACTGGGCTACGGGGTAGAAGATTGGTGAATGAAGATTATGGCATATGCAGTATTTTTTAAATCAAGAGAATAAGTATTTGGTTGCCCGTCAAGATAATTTCGATATTAATAAATTATGGCATTGGATATTTAGACACCATAAAGTTTTGAAAATCTTAATGCTCTCTCTATCTTTAAACTATCATTTTGTAAAGTTTGTAAATTCTCAAAATAAACAAGACGTCATTTTCAATCTTCTATGCATGTTTCAAATGAACTATTTGATACATTTTGATGTGTGGGAACCAGCCCCTGTTGATTCTTATGTTGGTTTTAAATATTTTGTTACTTTTATTGATGATTGGTCTCAAGATATCTCTCTTCTTCGATTCTATTTCTTTTATTACGAATTCTTACAAATACCTAGTTACCACTAGCCCAACCTAATCTAGGTCAGGTGATTCTAATCCAGATCACCGGGTTTTAATATGGTGCACACAAGCAAGTACATCATGTGCATGCCTATAGATGAGATCCATCACATTTGATGGACGATATACAACTACTTAAGCACTTTGGTTTATAGTACATCAATCATTTGGGAACATCAGACCGTCGATGTCTCCATTTCTAGGTCTGTTCATGAGATAATGCTAACTGGATAGATACTTTGTTATGTTTCTGCAAGTTAGATAATTCGCTTACAATATCCTAATTAATTGAATTAACTAATGGAAGATGGTTTGATAGGGCCGCAGCCCTATCAAAATAATTAAAACCTCACCTCATAACTCATCGAAATTTATAGTTCAAGCATTGAAAAACATTACATCAATCATCTCGGCATGAACGTTAGGGTTGTAAAAAAAAAAAGGATTTTAAGCTCTAAACATAATGTATATTGTGGCAAATATCTAGACTGTTTATTTCACCCCTAAAAATGAGTGTTCATAGATCCACAACATTTATACGGTTTTTTTCGTTTCAAATCTTATTGTTGATGTTGGAAATTGGGTTTAGATCCATCATAAAGGTTTCCATTACCTGAAGTGTTTTTTGGACAAGGATTTGATGAAGCCTAGGCCTTATAGAAACTTCCTCCTTAATTAGTTAAAAAATCAATGAAATTCTATAAAAACTATGGAAAATAGATTTAATAAATTAATCAATTGAATATCTATTATTCTTCATTGAATTTACAGTTCATGAAATTTTTATTTAATTTCTATTTTTTCAGTTTATTTAAATTTTGTCATTTCTATTTGAATGACTGGTGCAAGTATTTTTTTTTCTTAATAATTCAATGGAGAAAACCAATTTTTCAAATAACATAGAAGTTAGCTTTTTTGAAAGTGTTAATGGGATGATATCGACGTGGAAATGAAAACCAGGTGACTAGGGGGGAAGGGGGGGTGGTGGGTCCTATAACAATTACCTAGTCCCTTTCCCAAAGTACATGTACATCTTGATGCAATAGAATTTAAAAAAGGTGACAGTGTAATATAAGCTAAAATATTTCATGCGCCTGCCAGAGCATGTCGTCCATTTAGTTCTCGTAAAATTTCTACAAGATTGAAGATTGCATAAAGGAGTATCGTTAGGACCACGATTTTGGGGATGTGAATTCTTTAATTTTGAGGGAAATAATAAAGAAAAAATAAACATTATGCTCTTTAAATGTGCTAGAAAAAGTAAAATAACCTTATGAAACAAAGATAATCCGAGCTTTTTACAACCAAATTTAGAAGGTTAGAAACTCAAAATTGATTGCTTTTAACATACTTAACATGGTGATTTTATGGTGGAGCAAAGAAATTTAAATGCTGAGAATCTCTTAAGTTGCTCTTTGGGTCATGATGAATGGTAGTTGCCTTGATGCCATAAGGGTTTATTCATCGACTAATAAGAAGGCAAAAACTGAAGGCACATGTTTTTTTTCTTGTTTATTGGATAATTCAGATAATTTATCAAAACAATTGCAAGGGTTGAAGTATTTAATTTGGTACCGGACAACTATTACAACTCATGATTATGTGTTTTTTTTATGAGTATTTTATAATTAACTCGTAAGATATGGTAAAGCATTAAATAGTTTCATCTCTTTTGTATATTTTAATAAATTTCTCATATTATTATATACTTTTCCTTCCTTTTTTTTAAGCATATATCAAAACCTATTATTTGACATTTAATGTGTCTCATAAATGTTTTAAGCAAAGTTTTGAAAAAAATGGATCGATGATCTAAATTAGACATCTAGATTTTTTTTACCTGATTTGGCATATCAACAATCCAATTTCCCAAACTGGTCAATTCAAAACTGAAAATTGAAAAATAAAAATAAAAAAAATAACTGGGGCCAGTCCTAGCTGGTTCTCTGACAAAACCTGTTGTTTCTGTCAAAGAACTAGCAAACTGACCATATCAGGGGAACAAGTCGGTTCCTGATATTTCAGGGGCCAATTTCTTCTTAACGATTCTCCATTCAAATTGGCCAATTCCAATTTGGGTTAGCATTTTTTTAAACCTTGGTTTAAAGCATGCTACCCATAAACATAATACACTATCTTCAAAAAAAAAAAAATGCCGACTTACCATTTTCAGTAATGTAAATTACTGGGTTATTGTATCTTTCCTTTATATAGACCAATAGATCTTTGATTCCTGGGGGATAAACATAGAGCCAAGCTGAGGCCGCCTGTTGAAAAATGAAGTTAAAGAAGTGCTGTTAACAAATGAGAGAGAGAGAGAGAGAGAGGACATACCTGAGGTCCTATGGAAACTCCATTCCTCTCAGCTGTAACGAACCAGCACAAATATCCCATTTATTAGTAAATTCCAAGGGGGACAATAAAAAAAAAAAGTAGAAAATTTCAATTTCTCATTAATAAGTTTCAAAGGGACAAAAACTAGAGAGAGAGAGAGAGAGAAGCATTCTTTGCACATATTAGGCCTAAGGCTTACTTGTGAGGTTGGCACGAGAATCAGTATCATAAGTGGGAGGAAGCCCATTATTTGATGGAACACTAGCAGCATATCTAGCCGTGTAATAATTCAATCCAATGAAGTCAAATGACCCTTTAACCAGTTTTGACTCCTCTTTTGTGAATTTCGGTAACCTTTTCCTAACCAAGGACTTCATGCTAATTGGATAATCTCCTCTGGTCAATGGATCCATGTACCTATTACATAAAAATAAATAAATATATACTTATTTTAGTAATTGGATTATTGAATGTATAAATAAAGAATTGCACCCCCACTCTAGGATTTGAAGCTATGAAAACTGATGCAGATTTCGTAGATCTATGAACACTTGAAACGGATGATCTAGAAAATGTTTTATAAGAAAAGTATTGGGATTGATATCAAATTCTTTAAAGATCCATGTATATGTATATGGAGATCGAGAAAATCGATTTGCATGCTTTTTTGCACAGTAAATGCATGTTCAACGTGATTGCCCAACAAAATACTTTGCCATGGTAGAATTGCTCATATTCTTGATTTCAACTAAATTATGAATTATTCAATTTGTGCAGTAACTAATCCCCACAACTGTAAATGAAGCCCTATAGGTTTATTGAATACCATCCAAACATGAAGTCTATGGCTCTTTGAGCAGCTGCATTGTTGGAATTAGTTAGTGAATGGGCTAGCATCCAATGAGACACCAGGGTTATGCCTATCACTCCCTTTTGAGATTCCTACACAGCACAATATTTCATCTCTTATATCACAGAAATTTTAAAAGAGAAAATAAAATAATGTGTATTTTAGAAGAAAACAGCAAATGGATGGGTATTTATGACATCATAATATAGTAAATAATTTTAAAGAGAAAAATAAACAATAATTAGTGCACTTGTAGCATTTCAATTCTTCCCACCTATAAAGCAAAATACTTTGTTTCCATTTCTCATGCATTATAGTCCAATTTCGTGGCCTCTAGTCTTGTATTGTGACATCCAATTTGTATGACAAATGTGAAGGCTCAACTCTCACTAATTTTATTGAAACTCTTGATAAATTAGACAATAGAATAAAGTTTTAAATATTTTACAAGAAATAGGTATGTACATATGCACTACACGTGTGTAGTGCACCATATGTATGCTCCGTTTCCTGTCCTACTCAGGACTTGCCTGAGTCAAATCAGATTCGAAATCTAGCCTTTCTATTCCAGAAAACCCCAAAATTGCCTATTTCTCTAGGTTTCCGGTATATTTTAGAATAGGCTAAAAATTTACCCAGTTTGGATTTAAAACCCTAATTTTGGATCTTGATAGGATCCAGGTATGGATCCAATATTTGGATCCGACGGGTTGGATCTGGATCCAAAATTTGGGTCTGAATAGTAATTCAGATCAAATTTGGGTACAGGTAGATCTGATTCGGATCTAATCTAGTTATTAATATATTATATAGTATTATATATATATATATATATATATATATTATGTAGAATTTTTTGTTGTATATTATTTTGTAGATGTAAAAGAAAATATAAAATATTTTTAAATCTGATTCGGTTGGGATCCTGGTCCGGATCGCATGTATACTTCTTGGATCCGGATCCAGAGGTGAATAATCCCATGTATATACGGATCCAAATTCCATATATATTTGGATCAAAATCCGGATCTTGGTGGACCCAGACCCGATTTACCAATTTTGATCCCCTATTTTAGATTTTTTTTCTAAATATTCCCAATCTGCCTGTGTAGGGCCTGGGAGGACTCCGTTATAGCAGTTTGAGCCCAAGTCGACATATCGAACATTCAATGCGTGAATTAAATTGTCGCTTTAAAATTCATTTGGTAAAGAAAACTAACGGTTCTTTTCTTCTGAAACCAGCTTCATGGCCGGTTTACTTTTCATTTTTCTCAACAATTAGAAAGACCTTAGATAATTCTTCCAATTCAAAAGCGCAAAGCTGTTGAACAAACCTGGTATTTCTCCTTGTACAATTTCACGGCAGTAGCATGAGCGTGAAGCAGGTTATGAGCAACGACGTAAGGCTCGGTTCCTGAGTTTCCTTTGCTACAATTATTTGCCATCCAAGAAGAGCAACGGCCAGGAGCCAGTAATCCAATGCCGTAACCCCCGTCACTATAGCTCCATGGCTCATTTAATGTGATCCAATGCTTAACCCTGTCTCCAAATTCACTAAAGCAAAGGTTTGCGTAATCGGCAAAGTCTGCCCTGAAACAAAAAAAATTTCAAAAAACCATCATGTGTATTAGATATGGATGTGGTTTGTATAAAGTAGCAACTTTACTTGTAGAAGCAAGGCGAGGTTGCGATGATGCACATTTGACATGTCTTTTCAAACATTATTAAAAAGTAACATGCATTTTAAGATATTGTAAAATCTACACCATCTATATAAAATGGATGACATAAATTACCTGAACCTTACTTCTACAAAGTTGCTTCTACAAGGTTGTTGGCTTATATAAACATTGTCCTTCAGTATTACTACTATGCCACAATGTAAGTGCCCTTGCTATTGTGGAATAGGGTGGCAATGGACCAAGCAGCGACCAAACCGATCGGCCCCACCCTAAAAAACTAGGACATGGGCAACAAGATGTGGCGTGAGAGCAGGGCTAGGCTAGGGCTGAACCACCACGGCCTGAGGGGCAGGTTTGGGTAGGGCCAAGGCCACCACTAGGCTGGCAAGTTCAGCCCAGCCCATACCTTTTTTCCTTATTCTTTTTTTCTTTATTTTTCTTGGACTAGATTTAACCCAGCCCAACCCTAACAGGGCTCGGGCCTCCTCAATCAAGTCAGGCAAGGCTAGGCTAAGATTGGCCTTATAGGGATTAGAGTCAGGCTAGGGCAAAGGTTGGCCTAGCCCAAGCTGCCCATTACCAGCCGCATTGTGTAGAAGTAGCACTGTTCCATGAAAAATGTTAGTTTTCTTCTTTTTTTTTTTTTTTTTTTTTTTTTGCCTTTTTGAACTTGTATAGCATACTCTAGATACAATATGCATACTCCCTTGGGGAAAAATAGCGACTTATGAGACTTATCCAAAAAAAAAAAAGAGCTACTTATGAGGACTTGGATTTTAAATTTGGAAATCCACCTAAAAATCAACAAATGGTTATTTTTCTTAAAAACAATAGATTTTAACATCTTAAACACATAAAACTGACTGTCCAAAAGTTGGCACCTTTGTCCAATCCTAGAATGTTATCCATTTTAGGCACATGCATTATAAGGAGGTAAAAAAAAAAAACTTTTCGAGGTTTCTTTTCGAGGTTGGTCATTAGGTTGAAAATGTTACAGTATAGAATATTAATCAAGGGGGAAAACAGCAATAATTACACAATCTTTGGACTCAAGAACCCTTCGTACTCATCGTCAAGTGCTTGTGGGAGGTCCCAATGAAACATCGTGACAAAAGGTTTCAAGCCTGAGAGAGAGAGAGAAGTGTAAAATGAGTTCATGTGCAAAGAAAGTTGAGATGTAACCTATTTGTAACGAAGAAAGAGCACGAATGATTTTAGGATTACTCCATTGTTTGAGCACCCTAACATAACTTTTATATATATATATATATATATATATATATATATCACACACCGAAT